GAATTATTTCATTTACGACTATTATTACTCACTATAAAGGGAGCTACGAGTTTTAATGATTTAAGAACAGTAAATGAAGAAATATGTCAAACATTTTCAGCAGCATGTTTAACTTTAGGTTTAATTGAAGATGATGACGAATGGGTACGAGCTTTGAATGAAGCTGGATGGATGATGCCAAGACAACTTCGTAGACAATTTGTTCGAATATTATTACATTGTCAACCATTGCACCCTGATGAACTTTGGGAAAATTTTAAAGTAGCAATGTCAGAAGATTACGCACGACACTTTGGTGTGTTGCAAAAACAACGAAAAGCTTACGCACAAATCGGCGTTATGCTTTCTGCTGAAGGTAAAAGTTTTGCCGATTTTCCACAAATGAAACAATTAACAGAAAATTTTGAGATAGAAGATTAATTAATGACTCTTAAAGAATCTATAGAAATTAGTACCAGACAATATGAACAGTTAAACGATAAACAGAAAGAAATAGTCGATCTTGTATTAAATAGATTAGAAAATAATAATAACAATAGTAATTGTTTTTATATTGATGGTCCAGGTGGTTCGGGTAAAACATTTACATATACAACTATCTATCACTTAGCCAAAATTCGTAATAAACATATATGTACGATGGCTTTTACGGGTATTGCAGCAACATTATTACCAGCAGGCAAAACGGTTCATAAAACATTTGGATTGCCAGTTCCATTATTCGCTGATTCTTCATCTAACATTAAAATTCAAACAAAGGAAGCTCAATATTTAAAAAAAATAAATATTTTTATTTGGGACGAAGCGCCAATGGCACCACGATGTGCTCTAGAGATTATGGATCGTACATTGCGTGACATCATGAATAATGATTTACCTTTCGGTGGAAAAATTGTAGTATTAGGTGGTGATTTTAGACAACTTCTCCCTATTAAGACACATGGTACTCGAAGTGAAATCATAAATCTTTCAATCAAATTTAGTTCTACTTGGAGATATTTTATAACTTTTTCTTTAACG